ACTGGTGATGGAAAATGAGTGAGGAAGAGGAAGAGATCGACTGATCGGTGGCATCCTGTGTGAACTAGCCCAGCCCATTATGACTAAGGCAGATTTCAGTATGAAAACTAAGCTCTTGGTGTTCAAGTCGATGTTTGTCCCCATGCTTACCTATGATCCTGAGTCGTGGACCATGACTGAAATGCTTCGAACCCGGGTACTAGCTGCTGAAATGGACTTTCTTAGACGATTCGCTGGCTTTATGCGTCTCGACATAGTCCGGAAGAGAGACATCTGCGAGTGCCCTAGTATACAGCCGCTGCTTTTTCAAGTGTAGAAGTCACAGCTGCGATGGTCTGGGTATGTATTGCGAATGCCTCCAAGAAGACTTAGCAATTATTTCTTGCCCAGTCGACCGAGAGAAGGACCAGGGGACGACTAAGATTATCCTGGTGCAAATATATGAAGGGGTCTGCTCCAGACTTAAGTTGTCTTGTGCTGAAGCTCAGACTGGCACAGAATTGAGAACGTTAGAAGTCCTGTCTGGAGCTGGTGACTCTGCGCCCCGAAAGAAGAAGCGGTTATGGAAGAGAAAGATGATAGACATATGGACCTGAATTATAGTTTTGCATATAACTGCCATATATTTTAATGTTCGACTATAATTAATTATTTTTGTCCAAGTATGGCCTTATCAACATTAATTATTTCTGTGCGTGATTTTACTTGGATACATTTACAGGATCAGTGTGTTCCAAGACAGTAGATGGTTTGCGGCGTATCATTCTTAGGTTGATCGTCATTATACAATTGATTGTTAATAATTCTAATACAGGTACAGTGATTTGTAGTCAGAAGTGCAAAGCGAAAGCATTGATCTACTCATTGCGTGATTCTGATGCCACTATTTTATTTTCATTTTAGGAACCGACCCCCATTCAACGACAGGCTATTACCATTGGCTTGCAGAATCGCGACGTCATTGGCGTGGCCGAAACTGGCAGTGGTAAGACGGCTGCCTTCTTGATCCCCTTGCTTGTGTGGCTTCACAAATTGCCAAAGATTGAAAGGTACGCTGTAGTTGTAGAACGTACTGTTAAAGTGTGAAAGTTAACGATGAATTTATTGTTTTGTAATGCTGGCAACTTACTGCTTACACTGGTCACTTAGTTATTTATATCTAGGGAGGAAGACGTAGATCAAGGACCATATGCTGTCATCATGGCTCCAACTAGAGAGCTGGTGCAACAGATTGAAGAAGAGGCTATAAAATTTGGCCAGCCATTAGGTGTGCGAACGGTATCCATCATTGGCGGTCTTTCCAGAGAAGATCAAGGATTCAAACTTAGAATGGGATGTGAGGTAACCACTTCTTTCGTGTTTCGCTTTCTAGCTTACGTTTTTGTACCATGATTAAGGTTGTCATTGCTACACCCGGACGTTTGGTAGATGTGTTGGAGAATCGTTATTTGGTACTCAATCAGTGTACGTACCTGATTCTTGACGAAGCGGACAAAATGTTGGACATGGGCTTTGAACCGTACGTCCAGAAGGTCATTTCCTACATGCCTGTCACCAATCTCAAACCAGATACAGAAGAAGCAGAAGATGAAGCGAAGTTGATGCAGAATTTCTTTACGAAAAAGAAGTATCGTCAGGTAACTATCCTGGTTATTATCCAAGCCGGGGATATTTGACATGGAACCCCTTTTTTAGCACTGATTTCTTCCAGTATAGTGATATTAGTTTAATGAACATAACTTACCGTAATCACCTGTAAACAAATAAATTTGGGGTCATTGTCTATGTTTATATCTAAAGACAGTACATTTTGTCACGGATCACGTCGTCTAGGCTCTGAATATGAGAATTAACTATGGCATTAATCGAGATATGCAGAGTGATTTTTTAGACGGTTATGTTCACGGCAACGATGTCGTCGGCCGTTGAACGCTTGGCACGCACGTATTTGAGGCGACCCGCCTTTGTATACATCGGTGCTGTCGGAAAGCCAACGGAGCGCACCGAGCAAATAGTGTACATGGTGTCTGAGAGTGAGAAGCGTAAGAAGCTTGTCGAAATATTGGAGAAGGGTATCGAACCGCCCATCATTGTTTTCGTCAATCAAAAACGCGGGGCCGACGTGCTGGCCAAAGGCCTGGAGAAATTAGGGGTGAGTGATTTTTTTACTTATCGTTTAAAGCGGCAATGGTGTTTAGCGAAGCATTTACGTTTTTCCAAGTTAATTCATTCATTAATTAATTTTATTGGTTGATTCATTTGTCGCAACTAGAAGACCGAGTGGCTGAAGGCAGTGAAGCGTCATTGTGGTCAGCGTACCTTGAGAGATTCGCTTCACCCTCGAAAATCGACTGCATTCTATTGGATTTCTCCTGCTTATTACGCCGTGGAGGTCGAAGTTTGGAAACAAGCAGTGCTGCAACAGA